ACTTGAGCAGAGCTCATGCCGATGGGTTTGTTGATGGCTATGTGCATCGACGTCGGATTAGCAACGAAGAGCAGTCGCATCCGCCCGAGACCAGCAGCACTGCATACCGAATACGCCCTCGAGAACCTTGTCTGCCGCCATCTTCGCTAGGTTTGATATCCTCATGGGGACAGGCGCCTGCAGTTTCCCAAATCCAGGTCACAGTCTGGAAGCAGAAAATTGGCCCTGCCCGCGTGTCTCTACAGCGTTGTTGGCCGGAAATTTGGAGACGAGAGAACAGAGGCAAGGATCCCCCTGGCTGATGGACGGTTTTTGTTGGTTAGTGAAGAGCGCAGCCCTGAGTGCGACGAATGAGGGGCCCGGCTGATCGTCAGCCCCCCACTCGGTACTGGATACTTGGCGCATTCCTTGGCGGGCCTCAGGCCGCGTTCTGGTCGCGTAAAGAGCAAAGAGCGCCCTGTTCTTCTCCCACGTAAAGCGCGGGCGGTCGTCGCATTGTTGCAACCAATGCCCCGCCTTCTCCGACCTTCCACACCACACCTATTGCCTCCGACCACCTGCACACCCACCCCGAACCGACGATGCCCTAGCGAACGACGGTATAAGCACACCCACTGTCCCCGAGTTTCTCTGGCGGACGACAGCCACAATGGCAGGTCGACGAACGCGCCGAACGTCGAATTCGACCGTCGCAACAGTCGACGACTCGGACATTCGATGGGCCGCGGAATTGTCGATCCTCAAACCAGCAGCGCAAAATACCCCAGACGACGAACTGCCGTGCTACGTACTCACCGACGCCACCATCTACCACAAAGATGGCAGGACGCTCGCGAACCCGCTCCTCGTCCATCTCCAAGGCCCCATGGTCGTCCGCGGTTTCTTTGAGATAGGCGACGACGAGCTGCTCCCGGACCGTGAGCTCTGACCTTGTCGGTCTCGGGCAGCGCCATATGCTAACAATCGGCAGTTGTTAGGCCGAGTGTGAGGTCGGCCCACATCGAGATCTCGCAGTCACAGCGGTACTCATTTGGCGATGGTCCCCTGACTCTCTGGGTTTCGGGCGCCGCCGGCTGGTTTGAGATCCGGCCGTCCCTCCAATACCAGGCCATGTTCAGCCAGATCCGGGAGGCCGTCACACTCTACTACGGCGTGCTCGACGTCTATGAAGCCTACAACAGCGCCTGTGGGGCTAAGAAGAAGGCAAGAAGGCCTCCCCCGCCAACCCTGGACCAGATCTTCTTCAAGTACGCTGTCAAGGCTGGCGACGGCATCGTGCGTGACGAGGTCGAGGCCTTGTGCCATAAATGGGCCGAGTTCCTACTCGGCCATTTCCCGAAAGAAGTCGGTTTCAACTGGGACGGCGTCCTCTTCGCCAAGTGGCTGCGTGAATCGAACCCAGTAGGCTCCTCGCCCTCACCCACCAGCATTGATCGCGCGTACTCGCTGCTGACATCCAGTAGGAGCTGCAGAAACAAATCAACGATGTAGCGGCGAGGTTGGTTGCTCCGCCGCCGCCGCCGCCGCCGCCGCCGCCGCCCGAACCGCGCGAGGTTGAGCTTCCACGCCAACGGAAGGCCAGATCGACCAGGACAAGCAGCCGAAGTACCAGCGTGGTTGACGGCGTCGCGATGCGAGATTTCGCCCTGTCCAAGTCCCACAGCCCGCAGCCAAAACCAGCCAGCAAGCCGAAGACCAAGTTGATCGAATCCCCGGTCCCGTTGCCAGAGAGGTACCGGTCGGCCATCCAGCCAGCAAGTTCGAAAGCCTCCCCAGCACCCATCGACTCGCCGAAGGACACGCCCATGTCGGATGCCAACTCCGAGACGCCGGTTGACCGGCTGCTAGTTGTGCTGCAAGAGGTTGCGGGAGAACTGGCCGACGTAAAGAAGGCGCCACATACCAAAGTCAACAATGGCCTGTTCTTCAAATGCAAGATGCGACACTACAGCGCCACCAAGGACATCGTGGCATACTACGCCAAAGAACTTGTCCAGCGCCTCGGGCCCGAATGGAACGGCACCCCGTGGTACGCGTGGCTCCAGGAAACCACAAAACAGCCTTGGCAGCCATCGGAGCTCATCAAGGCGGAGGATATTCCTGCCCAGACCTTGCGCCGTGCCAAGATGGGCCCTAAAATAGCTTCTTCGAGCCAGCCCGCCACCAGACTGCCCCCGTCCATCGGCCTCAAACCAAAAACCAAAAAGCCGGCACAAATCGTGAGCGAAGACGATTCGGACGGGGACATGGTTGAACCCCGAACGCGTGGCCGCAAATCCGGCAAGGCGGCAAGCCTGCGCCTGGTAGCCAGCACCAAGAAACGGCCGGCGTCCGAGCTCGATGACGACGTGGCGGGACACGGCCGGGGCAGGAAATCGGCCAAGACCATGCTCCAGGCTAGTGGCGACGAGCAGATGGGCGATGCCGACGATACGGGCGACGACGAAGTCGACAGCGACGAGGATGCGGCAGCCGCGGCGGCGGGATCCAGCCTGCCGCTGCCCGAGGGCACGATCCGGATCGCGGTGCACGCCGAGCGGCTCCCGACGACGTCGCCGGCGGGGCCCAACGGGACGTGGACGTGCGACCAGGAGGACTGCCGCTACGTGGTCCGGGCGGCCGACGAGCAGGACGCGCAGGAGCTGATCCAGGAGCATTTCCGGGACCACGAGGCCGAGGCCGAAAAGATCAACCTGGTGGCCAAGGAGAGCCGCGGCCACCTGCCTATCAAGTACGCCTATTTCCCTCCCATCCTCCTCCTTGTCCACATGCACCGCCAGCCAAGACTCGCTCGGCGGCGCTGAGGACCAGCCACCGCGCGTGGCGGCGGGCCTGTCTTGCAAGCTTGTCCGTGGCCATCTCACGGAGAGAGCCAAGGCGCGACTAGTCCGCGGTCTGATGCTGATCCGCCGCCAGTCACCTCCTCGATAAAATCCAAGCTCTTGGGAAAGCTGCCTTCTTCAAGAAGCGCAAGACGCTCAACGGGGAGCCTCTGCCGACGCCCGTCAAGCGGCGGTTGCCGATTTGAATTCTGTGCGCTCTTGTAATGATGTTGTATCTATCCCATGCATGTACATTTTCTGCGAGGGTCATGGGGTTCTAGGGTCAGTTGGGCTGGCTGGCCGGAATCAGGCGTTCATTGGTTGGGCGGGTGCTGGAAGGAGTTTTCGGGGATTGTGTCACGGAACGATGCGTGCGTCTGGCTTACATACGATTCGATCGAGTTGAGCAGCATAAATCATGGATTTGTCTTGTTCGGACCAGACAACGAGTGCCCATCCATCCATCCATCCATCCACTATGGCTTGACAAATGACATGACGGCATACCGGAAGCTCCCATTCGCATACCCCCGCCGCATGGCGCGGAAGGCCTGCAGGAACGCGATCCCGTCTCGGCCCTGGCTAAAGGCAAAGGCCCAGAGCGAGGGGTTCTGCACGAGCGACCAGGAGATGTCCCTGGGAAGCCAGTCAAGTGTCAACACCTCGAAAAACATCCGGTGGGCGTTGCGCGGTACATACCATGTCTTGCTGACATCCGTGCTGATATCCTTGGGCGCGCTCAGCACCTCCAGCCCGGCGCCTGTGGCGAACCGCACGTACTCGTCCTGTGTGCACAGCGGGGGGAGGAGCATGCCGTCTTTCCCAGTTAGCGCCGTCTCGACCAGCGAAAAATAAAAATAAAAAGGAAAAAAAGAAGAGGAAAAAGAAAGGGAAAATAAAGAAAGAAAAGAACCAAACGGATAGCAACAGACGAACCCTCGATCGGCTTGATATCCGCCTCGAACCCGCCCTCGGCAAGCACCGCGGCCCGGAACCAGTCCGCCAGCACGAGCTTGCCGCCGCGCCGGAGCAGCTGCCGCGCGTTGTGGAAGAAGAGCGCCTTGTTGGGGAAGTGGCTGAGCGCCTCGGTGATCCAGACCATGTCGAACGCGCCGCCGGCCGCGGCGAAATACGCGCCCATCGTCTCGGCGTCGAGCTCGATGAAGCGCACCCTGCCGCCGTGGGGGCCGAGCGGGATGAACTCGTCGGTGTCGGTGTCGGTGTTGTCGTCTGGGGGTGCGTTCCCCGGGGAGGAGGACGGGGAGGAGGACGGGGAGGCGGCGGCGGCAGCGGCGGCGGCTTTGCTCAGCCGCGTCGCGAGCTGCACCTGCTTGCTGGAGATGGTGATGCCGGTGACCGTGGCACCCAGGGTGGAGGCGAGGCAGCGCGTCGTGCCGCCGACGCCGCAGCCGACGTCGAGGATGCGGAGGCTAGTGGGGCCGGTGGGAGCGGCGGGGGTGTTGTCCTGCGGAGCAGGTGTGGTGCTGGAGATGTCGAGGAGCAGGCGGATCAGGTTGTGCTGCGCGACTTCTTTGCTCTCGGTGGCCTTGGAGGCGTCGGTCGGCCAGTAGCCGTGGTGGATGTGTTCACCCCTTCCGGATGCGATGTGAGCTTTATGCGGGGGAAGCACACATTTAAGGGGGGGGTGATGAGCGCCTACCACAGGTTCAAGTAATAGTCGCTGGCGAGGTCATAGTGCAGCTTGATGCGGTCCTTGAGGGCCTGCATCGTGGTGTGCTGGAGGCCCATGGGCGTTTCATACTGCGTGCTGAGATCGGTGCTCTCGTTGCTAGCAGCATTGGTAGTTGTGGGAGTGGGCATGGTCTGGCCGTCTTGTTACCAAGCAAATGCTTGGGTTTGTGGTTTGGCTGGTTTGGCTGCCAGTGGAGGGTGTGCAAGAGGGAAGCAACGACGATGCTCAAGCTTGTGCACAGTCAATCAACGGAGGGAAACAGGTTCCCTCCTGCAGGGGGCTGTCATCGACGATCGTGCCTTGCATTGACGCTTACTACCTAGGTAGCTTCCCAAACCATGGCACACGCGAGGAGGTGACGATGCATGGACGTTTTGTTGGCTGGTCATCGGCGATGACCCTTATCGGCTGTGGAAGCAGTGATGGTTCCCCGATGGCAGGTAGCAAAAAGAGCTGTTGTTTGGAAGCTCTGGAAAAAGAATATTTGACTGAAGCGCGATTCGAACGCGCGCCTCTTTCGAGAGTAGAAAGCACCCACATTTCTGTGGAAGAACTGAATCTTGAGTCTACCGCCTTAGACCGCTCGGCCATCCAGCCAATTGGATTGATGAGGGAGCCAGCGAAGCGAGCGCCCACAAACCCGATGCCTGCGCATTGGAGGGCCCGACTTGTCTTCTCATCCTGTGTTGTTGGTCGTGGTTTCCGCCCAACTGACTGTTGATTACCTGGTGCGTCGAGGCGTATACGGGACTGTGTTTAGCGGTTGTTGACCTGCACCCGAGTCGACTTCCTAGCGATTGGCAGTTTCATCTCAGCAAGTGCGTTTCCCAGGACTTGTTTCCGTCAAACCCTTCCCAGCGGAACATGGCTCTCGACAGAGAAAGACAGGTGTCGGAAACTGTTGGGACAGTAAACCGGCTTGACTCCGACCCCCATCTCCAGCCTCAAGCACGACGGGACATGCTCCTGCTCTGCCTCACGGCAAACCAAGACTCATCCACCGCGCCAGAGGGCTTGACGCAAATATCACACCGCGTTGGCAATGGTTTGCTGCTTGCCGGCCATCACAAAATCAAATAGCAGCCGTCGGTAGAGCGATTGCCGACGACCTGCGCCGTGACCGTGGCGATGTCTGCATCTGTGTGCCCTGCTGGAAACAACTACAGGTTTGGATACATAAGACCCGCCCAGCTCTCAGTCGGTGTCTCTTCTCCATCACGAGCAGTCTCACGCGCTTGCTTGACCAACACCCAAAATCCCCCAACTCACCTCGCAACAAAGCACCACGATGCTCCCCATCCTCACCACCACCACCACCCCCTTCCTCCTCCTCCTCCTCCTCGCCCCCCTCACCCCCGCCCTCCCCACCAACACCAACACCAACAGCTGCACCACCACCGGCCCCCTCTCCGCGCCACACATCCGCCTGGTCCACCGACCCGACCAGCACCAGCACACCACCCAGACCCTGGCCTTCGCCCTCCCGCCACCAGCCACGCGCCCCGGCCACGGGCCATGCACGCTGCGCGCCCGCCTCCCCTCTTCTGGCGGGGGTGCCCCGCTGAGCGTGGGTGTCTACGACGTTGTGAGTGTGTGCGTGCGAGAGAGAGAGAGAGAGAGAGAGACGGGGAGAGACGGCTGACGCGGCGGCGGTGGATCCAGGACGGGCCGGCGGCGGGGGCGCTGGTGGGCGAGGTCCGGGTGGACGGGGCGGCGGGGAGGAGCGTGGTGGTCAACTCGTTTGCGTGCCGGGAGACGATGACATATCGGCTGGAGATTGTGCGCGGGGAGGGGGAAGTTGGGTTTGGGAATGGGAATGGGAATGGGAATGGGGATGGGCTGGGGGAGGAGAGCGCGGTGGAGATGGTGTATGGTTGTTAGTGACGCGCTGACAGAAAGGGGGTGTTATCCACGTGTGTGGTTGGGACATCGACATGGGATTCAGGGGCGGAAAGGGCAGAACGAACTCGTGTCGTTCCCCGCCCGGCTTCTTCTCGGCCAGGGCCAGAACGTCTCGCTGGACCAAAGTACATCAAAAAAAAAAAGAGAAAATATCCCCTGGGTATCCCTAAATGGCAACTGTTCTTGTCTCCCGTCTATGCATCCATCCCGGGGTCCTCGTCCGCCAGACTCCCGGACGCGGGACTACCACCCGGCCCGGCCCCGGAGACTCGGGCTGGCCGCGCCACTCCCGGCGACACTCACGCTGCCGCTCCCCGCGGCGGCGCTCTGGTCGATCTTGGCAATCCAGTCCATCTTCTCCCGCTCGTTGCGCGCCGCAAACAGCCACGTGTTGTCGGTCCCGTAGACGGCAAACACGCCCGCCTGCAGCCGCTCGCTGAGCCTGCTGATGCCGCCGCCCCTCTGCCCCGGCCCATCTCCATTGGCATTCGCATGCCCATTCCCATTCCCATTCACACCACCACCACCACCACCACTGCCCGGCCAAAGCGACGCAATCAACCTCCCGGTCCCCCCCGCCGCCGTCACAGCCATCCCCCCACCCCCATCCCCCTCACGATACCCATACTCGCAATGCTGCGCCACATTCAACAGCCCCAGGATCCCCGGCTGGCCCTCGACGCGCGCGTTCCGCAGCCCACACACGGCCACCTCCTCCCCCTGGCCGTGGCCGTTGCCGCTACCGCTACCGCTACCGCCGCTGCCGCCGCTGCCACCGCTGCCGCCGCCCGCGCCATAGACATGCAGGTACGGGCGGCGCAGCTCGACGAAGCGCTTGACCCACCGCGTCGACTCGCTGTTGGGCACGAGCAGGTAGCCGCCCTTGAGCACGGCCGGGTTCTTGGGCACGCGTATGACGGTGGCGATGAAGGCGGGCGCGGTGGTTGACGCGCTGGTGGTTGTTGTTGTTGTGCCTGGGGGGGAAGGGGGTAGGTCGGGGGTGGCGGTGTTGAGCGGCGAGAGGAGGGCGAGCGTGGGGTCGGGGTAGCGGGTCCAGAGGGACAGGGCGCGGGTGAGGAGGGCGGTCTGGGCTTCGTCGGCGGGACGGGTTGCGGGTTCGGTGGTTGGGGGAGGTTCGGTGGGAGATGGCTCGGTGAGTGGAGGGGAGGAGGGCTGCTCGACTCCCTCCGGCACGTCGTCGTCTTTGAGGAGCTCGGCGATGGAGTCGGTGTCGGAGGCGAGCGACGGGGGCGGCAGGTCAGGCTCCTCGTCTTCGGCCGCATCGCCGGCCTCGTCCCGGGGGTCACGGAAGCCCATCTTCCGGAGAGACGCCTGGACGGCGGCCTTGTCCGACATCATGTGGCGCCGCTTGCGCGAGCTGATATAGTCCGCCACCAGCGACACGCCGCGCGGGGTCCAGGCCGTCAGGTTCTCCTCGCCCTTGACGTAGTCGTGCTGGCTGTTCATGCGCCACAGGTCGCCCACCCGCTTGATGGGCGCGGGCCGCATCTGCAGCGTAAAGATGGCCGTGGCCGAGTGCACGATGCGGACGGGCTGCCACAGCGCCGAGAACATGGACGTCTGCCGGACAAAGGACCGCGACACGATCTGGCAGCAGACATTCATCGACAGCGTCATGGGCTCCGCAAGCTTCGCGGAGCTGACCTCCCACGCGACCGTCATCTGCACGCGGTACTTGTCCGCCGCCGTGACGCGGTCGAGCAGCAGCGAGTTGTGCAGGCTCGAGTCCCACTGCGCGCTCACGGCGAGGCTGCGCGTCCCGTTGGCGTTGGTCCGGAACACGGGCGCGCCCGCCAGCTTCAGGGGCAGCTCGGGGCTGGCCGAGCCCATGTCGGGCGACTTGCCGGCGCTGTCCAGGAGCTGGATCCTGCCGGCGCGCACCGCCGCGACGTCGTCCCACGGCAGCGCGTCGCCCGAGCTGTGCGTCAGGCTGATGGCGATGCGCCGCTGCAGGCCCTGGTGCAGCTGGAACGTGCCGCCGTCGAGCTCGCTCGTCTGCGTGACCTCGACGGGCACGTACTCGCCCTCCTCGCTCATCTCGAGGATCTGCACGCGCGCGAGCAGGTCGTGCCGCTCCTCGGTGAAGAAGTGCGACTCGCTGATCCGCGCCCCCGCCGGCCGGCCCTGCGAGGCGGGGACGGCGTCGCGCATGTCGTCCCAGCTGAGGAGCTTGTCCAGATGCATGGCCGACACCCGCGCGAAGACGGCCACGCGCAGCGTCGTCTGCGGCGGCGCGAACAGCGGGACGCTCATGCTATGGACGCTCTCGAACCGGATCGGGCCCTCGTCAAAGTCCCGGATCATCTGCGTCGTGGTGATGCCGTCCTCGGAGATGCCCGCGATGAAGAGCTGCGCGTGCACGTCGGTGCCCTCCCGCTCCGCGAACCCGACCATCTCGTGCATGACGATGTTGAACTTGAGCGTGTTGGACGGCGCCCGCGCGCTGGACGGCTCCAGCGCAAGCTTGACGATGCCGATCGCGTGCGACGTGTGTGGCGAGAAGACGTCGAGCGTAAAGTCCTGCACGCGGCTCTCGAAGACGGCCTGGAGCGGCACGTCGACCTCCCCGACCAGCGTGTACTGCGGCATGCAGGTCTCGACAAACGGGTTGTCGATGCTCAGGTGCTGGGCGTACTCGGGCTGGTCCAGGTACTGGTACATCTGCCGCATCTGCCGGACCCGGTCGTGGAGCTTCTCGATGCTCCACCGGTGGGCAACGCCGTGCCGGTAGTCGATGACGCGGACGCCGATGCACGGCTTGGGCGCCTCCTCGAGCGCAATGTCGTCGCCCTCGCCGCTCAGCCCGTTGAGCACCATGTCGTACGACGAGCACAGCAGGTGGCCGACGTCCACCACGGTGAACTGGAAGACGACGTGCTCGTCCAGCTCGTGGCTCATGATCTGGGCCTCCTTCAGCGTGGCGGCGTGCTGCAGGACCGCCTCGGCCATCCGCACGTAGTGCCGGCCCCGCCAGTGCTTCACCACTCCCCGCGCGCGCTCAATCTCGTCCTTCTCCAGCCTCGGCTTGGCCTTGGGCCGCTTGAGCGGGTCGAGCTTCTCGATCTTGGCCTCGAACTCGCGCCGCTGCACCTCGAGCTGCCGCTGCATGTCGGCCTTGAGCTGGGCCAGCGTCTCCTCCATCCTGGCCTTTTCCTTCCGGATTTCCTCGACCTCGACGTTTGCCGCCTCGGCGCTCTTGAGCTGGTCCTGGTACTCGTCCTTCTGCTTCTCCAGCTGCACCTGCAGCTCGTCGCGCATCTCGCGCAGCCTGTCCTCGGTCTCGCCCTGTTTGGGAGTCGACGGCATCGTCAGGACGGTGTCGAGCGAGAAGTTGTCGATGGTGCCCGTGGACATGTACTTCTCCCTAATCGGATACGAGGCCATCGACTCCAGGTCGTCGTCGCCGTCGCCGTCGCCGTCGCCGTCGCGGCCGTTCACCCGCTCGGCGCGCGCCCTCTGGACATCCTCGAACAGCGCATTCAGTTCCTCGTCCGTCAGCTTGGCAAAGTTCTGGTCTGTGCCGAGGATGGCGGGCGCGGCCTCCCGGCGCGCAAACGACCAGTCGGACTCCTTCGCATTGCGGTGGAACGGCGACGGCGACGGCGACGGCGAGTCCGGCCGACTGTCGGTATAGTCCGAGACGGCGGCGCTCAGGCTCCGTTCATGGCCCGGCCGCGGGCTCGGGCTCGGGAACGGCGATGTCTTGTCCAGCGCATGCAGCTGGCTCGCCGTGACCGACTGCCGCAGGAGACTCTGCTCGGCCCGCTCGGCCCGCTCGGCGCGTGCTTCCATGGGGTGGTTGAAGCGGAAGATGTGGAAGTCGCCGAGGATGATGCGGTATCCCGAGTGCAGTCGTGTGGGCTCCGCCACTCGCTTTCCATTCACCATGACGGCCGCTTCTTCCCGCGGCGTGACCGTCACCGTCCCGTCGGCGCCGTTCTCAAAGGTGCAGTGTTCGTGCAGGATCCGGGACCCGTTCAGACGGATATTGGCCTGGTGGTCGGCGTTCGACTCGACGTTGCCGACCGTCGTAACGCCCGGTTTCAGATTGTAGACCAGGCACTCGGCCAGAAGCGGGTCGTCGGAGAGATTGACCAGATGAGGCATTTTCTTGGGCGTCGACATGCCGATAAAACCCTTCTCGATGCTGATGCCCAGCTCCTCGAGCGCAGCCTCGCGCTCCTTGTGGATCTCCTCCGTTTTGGTCAGCTTTTGCTCCCAGGTCTGGTTGAGGTCCTGCAGCAGCTTCTCGCTCTGGTTGAGCTGCTCCGCGATCTCCGCCTTGGAAACCTTCTTCACCGTCCCATCCGCCTGCGTGATGCTGACGATCTGCTGCTCCAGCGGCGTGCCCTCGGCGTACACCTCCTCCATCGGGACTGCCGCGCCGCCCGCGCCGCCTCCGCCGCCCAGTTTGCTCCGGAGCACCGCCAGCTCTTCCTTCAGCTCGCGGATCATGCGCGCGTTGGCGTCTTCGTTGACGACGGCGTGGTTCTTGATGCGTTTTGCCGAGTCGGCGTACCGCAGCGTGCTGAGCGTCTCGTCGTAGTTGATGTCGGCCGGGCTGATGGCCGCGATCATGGCCGTCATGCTGTTCCCGCCGAGCGAGTCTTTCAGCAGCCAGGTGAGAACACTGTCTCGGTACGGGACCTGGCCCGCCGCGCCCTTCTTTTTCTTGCCGGTCGAGAGGTCCGCCAGCGCGGCGATGACGCGGCCGAGGGTGGAGAGCGAGCGGTTGATTTCGGCGCCTTCTTTCAGTCGTGCGCCTGTTGCGCCGGTGGAAGTCGCTCTTTCCGAGCCCGCGAGATCGACGAGGCTGATCTTGGCCGCCTTCTCCATCCCCATCTTGGTTTCCGGGTCGAAGCGCTTCTGGGTCAGCATGAGCGTGAACACGGCGTGGCTGCGACTCGACGTCTCGTTCATGTTGGTCGCGGCCACCGTTCGCGCCTTGTTGCCCTCGTCCATGAGGTGCTCGATCTCCTGGAAGCTCCCCACCACCAGCTTCGCCAGGTCCTCGACATACGGCCCCGTGGACGGATGCTCGCGGACTTTGAGGTTGCCCTTGTTCGCCGGGTTCAGAAGATCGCGCACCCGCTCGTTGTAGATTTCGAGATACGACACCTCGACGGTGAGCCGCAGGTTCTTGTCCTGCTGCATCTCCACGATCCTCCTGAACATGTCCTGGCAAATCATCGGGATGATGCCCGCGTCCTTGCCGTAGCCCATCATCGAGTAGGATTTTCCGGACCCCGTCTGGCCATAGGCAAAGATGCAGTTGTTGTACCCCTGGAAGGCATTGTCCAGCAGCGGCTTCCCCAGGTCCTGGAACAGATGGTCCTGGCCCGCATAGTTGGGCGCGTTCTTGTCGAAGGACCAGTACGACTTGTCGAACGCAAAGACCTTCTGGCCGTGGTCCTTGTTGTTGCCTCCCTTGCCGCCAGCATCGGCCGACGGGGTCAGGACGGTCTGGTTCCCTCGCATTTCCACGATTCGTTTCGCGCCGCGGTCGTGTTCTATTCAGACAGCACAAGCATCAGTCTCTTCCCTGCCCACGTCTCCACAACACCAGACCAACACCAGACCAACACCACGGGGCCGGGGCCGGAGCCGGGGCCTTCGCAATGGGAAGCAGCTCTCACCTCTGCCGTTGAACGGACGGCACCTGACCACCACCTTGATATTCCCTCCCCCTCCGCCACCGGCGGGTGCCGCGGCCGGAGCCATGGTGGCTGGAAATGGAAGCTTCACAGCGACAGCGGCAGCGAGGGCGGCGCGCCTGGGCGGCTCTGCTGGGACACGCGCGACGGGCGGATGGTCTAGGGGATGGTTTCGGCTTCTATGGCGCAGTCCCTGTGGTCCCCAGCATGCAAGATCCCGGCCCGCGATACAGCGCCCGCGCGCATCCTCGCGCCGCAACCCGTGCGCGTTGTTTGCGTTTGCCGGGACTTCAAACGGCTGTATCCGTAGAGACGACGCGGTTCGGATTCGAAGATGATGTCGAAACTGCCTGCAGCAGTGGCCAAGGGGCAGGCGTTCAAGTCTGCGGCGTGGGCGATGGGGAATGGCCGCGCTGCAGGAGCTGGTAGTTATCGGTGGTCTTTGTTGGAGTGTCGGGGCGTTGTCGCGATTGCGAGTTCGTCGGTGTTGGGAATGTGTCTTGCCAAGACGGCGTCAGCTCTCAATTGGCGCCGCAGAGAGATGCACTTTCTCGAATGCGTCTCCGTGTCAACAAATTTGGGGAGTGGGACAGACGCGACGCCCCCCCGGACGGGCCATGGTCATGCACCAAAAGCACGCTGCAGGCTGCACGATCAGGGGCGGTCCAGTGGGTGGGAACGGCTGCTTATTGGATGCTTCGGGCTTCGTCATTGCTGGAAATTAAGCCTGCTTCACATGTTAACGGCCCGGCTTGGACTCCCGCTTTACACAAACCAATCATGGGAGATGATCTAGGTACCCTCGGTCGTTGCGTTTCTCATGCATGTTCCCATGGCTTCCATTGTGCATTTGTTTCGGCACCTAGCTTGGCCTATCATTCGGTGCCTCACACGTGTACTGTACATGTACCTCGAGACCAATTGAGGAGTCTTTCAGTGGGCCAGAGCCCCCAATTACATGTGTCTCCACAATGAGTTCTACATACCTAGGCTTCTAAGTCGGACGCACCATTTGTCCCCCGCCGATATCTGTTCCTATGCTCTCCGGGGTTGCGACTATCCCGAGGGTTGACACGGTTTGTATGAACCGCGACCAAATGTGAAAGTCACTTCGACTCAGCCAGGCCTAGGTCCTTCTCAACCATCTGGCGGCAAATCGGATGGTAGAAATCGCGATTCTTCTCGAATGTCTTGACCGCAAGCTCGCGGTCCACCTTGTTCAGGCTGCGGTACAGCGGCCGGGCAAACTTCATCCGGCCGACTTCACCAAGGAGCTCAGCGACTCCTGGATAGGCGCTGGTGTCCTTTGCCTTCATCGCAATGTGGTAGTACGACGACTTGAGCTCGACATTCTTGGATTCGGCCAGCTTGTAGACCTTGCCCAAGGTTTGCTGTGTTTAGGTTAGTCGATTGCCCTGCAGACTACTACAAAAAACATTGCTGCTCGGGAGACATACCGATTTTTCCACTGTCAGGGGTTCGTCAAAATCCTGAACGCCGTTCAGAAATACGAGAACCTGGTTTCCGGTCCAGGACGAAATGTCCGACGGGCTGGGGGAGAAGTCCTTCTGCTTCCACTTATCCGACAACTCATAGCACACGTCGACAAGCGACGTGTCGAACTCGGGCTTCGGCGGGAGACCGGTGCTGTAGAAACGGCCCTCCCAGTCAATCGCCGATATCTTGTCCGTCAGACTGGCATACTCGGGCCCGCTGAAGAAGGCAAGGAATGTGTCTTTGAACTCGTATGAGTCCAGCGACTTGTTGGCCCACTTCCCGAAGTAGTGGGGAATAAACTTGTCAAAGTTCTCCCGCCCTACCAGGCGATCCAGGTAGTAGACGAAGTGAAATCCCTTCTCGTAGGGAACGGTGCTGAAAGCATCATCCGGGTCGATGCCCTTGTGGCTGATGCACAACTTGGTGAACTCGTGGTCCTCGCCATGCTCCTCCATCGCCTCCACTAGGGCTTGTTAGTGGAGGGAAAGACGGTGCAGCTTAGGGCTGCTACTTACCGAGATGCTTCCACCCGATAATGGCAGAGAAGTCAAAGTAGGCATCATTTTCACGAATAGACGAGATGATGCGCCGCTCCAGATACATGGTCCAACCCTCGTTCAGCCAGCTAGACAACGGTTAGCGTATTTGCATGGGGTTCAGCAGAGTATGCCGATGAAGAACGGACTCACTAGTGCTCCCAGCTGCAGTTCGTGACCAGGTTGCCGCTCCAGCTGTGGGCAAGTTCGTGAGCAATGACATCAACGTTTTGCCGGTCGCCGCTGATGATGGTGGGCGTCGCAAACGTGAAGATGGGGTTCTCCATGCCTCCGTACGGGAAGCTCGGCGGGAGGACGAGCACGTTGTACTCCCCCCACCGGTAGGGAAAGACAATCTTCTCGGCAGCGTCCATGAACTTGTCCATGTCCTCCTCGAGCTCCCACTGCGAGGCCTTCAGCTGGTCGGGCCCCGTGGCGACGCAAGAGTGCTTGCCAATAGGGGCCATGGCAATGTCGCCCGAAGACAGGGCGAACAGGTAGGTCGGGATGGGGACCTTTTGCTGGAACTTGTAAATCTTGTCCTCGCCTGCGTCTTCGGTTGCCCCGGGCACCTGGACACCGCTGGCAACGACAACATACGGGCTGCGAATGATGAAGTCGTAGGTGCTCTTGACGTCGGGAGTGTCTTGGCACGGGAAGAGGGAGCGAGCATGGATAGCTTGGCACTGGCTGAACATGAAGGGTGCCTTCTTGTTGCTCGTCTGAGCCGGGGTGAGCCACTGGAGCGCAGTGCACTTGTCCGTCGTGGCCACATCAATCGCGAGCTTGACAATCTCGCCCTTGCTGGCGCCGTTGGGCACCGAGACATGGACCGGAGAGCCGTTGGGGCCGGAGCGAGCCTTGACCTCCCATTGCAAAGGCGTCGAATTGAGCGTGATGGACTTTAGGTCGAGATAGCTAGAGTCGAGAATGATCTCGTTGCTGGCCTTGTCCGTCTGGGATTCGAGCTCGAGAATGACGGAGCCGCGCAGGCACTTGGCGTTGAAATCCACGGTGAGATTGGCGGTGGTGTGTTTGGTGCGCCATTCGTCGTAGTTGGCCAGGGTGTTGGGGTCCCGAACAGGAGCCATTCTCGCAATGCTTGAGCCGAACCAGCGACGGTGCAAATGTGAAGCTGTTGATGGTTTCTGCGAAATCGAAGTTGCCGGATGTGCAGCTTCCTGAGCGAACCTGGCCCTCCCAAGGCGAAGAAAACCCCACATCAGAACTCCACTTGGCTGCAGCTGCGTGATGCCCGAACAGCTCTCGACATTCCTTCACGCCTTCCTCCTTCGTCCTGCGCATCTTCGATCAGCCCATCTGATAGGCCAAGATCGTATCGCGGGGAAACACGTGACTTGGTGCGGAGCTGACCAAGCAAACAACCTTCCAAAACCGTTACCAATCCCGTCGCCTGCTCTTGTCAATCCGAGTACGTATTCTCATTGCTATGTTTTATTTATTTCTCCCCATCCCCCTCATATCTCTCTTTTCCATTACATGGACGCGAGACAGCATTGACCCGCTCAGCACGCATTGCCGCCCGTGGTGATGATGTCTGGCATGTCTGGCCCGCCCTGCCATGCGAAATATGTTTCGAGCATACCGAGGCCGGGACCGGCAAGGAAACCATGGCGGTGGATAGAGGCCCCCCAGGGAATGGACCGTATATCAACTTGAACAACCTGAACCGTCTTCGGCGAGTGCAGACTGGTTGTCCTGCCCCAATACGGCCCATACGGAACAACATTGACAGCACTGATGTTGTGCCGGGCGTTTGTTTTCCGAATTCGGTGCCTCTTCGAGTTGGCTGTCCGAGGCGGTATACAAATACAGGAAATGGCATCCGGCAGTCGAAGTCTAGTCAACGCCGGTCTAACCGCGATCCACACAGCCAGATTTTGTCTCCCTTTCGTCTTTTTCGATCTTCGGTTTGCCTGTTGATTAGATGATGCTCTATCCGCATGGTTCTAGTCGTCTAACCTCCAACATCGCAGTTCTGAGGACGCCTCGGGATCACCGGCATCAAAAGCCGCCACGCGATATGTGGAACAGCTTCAGCTTGTCAACAGGCCCTGGGTATACAAGCTACCTACGCCACAGCCGCCCATCGGTGAAGGCCCGGCGCAGACAAGATACGCTTGGTCTGCAAAGAAAAGTGAAGCGTTCGGCGCTGCAACCCAGCACAGGGGCTCCCTTCGGTGTGCCAGTTTCCCCCTCAATGTGCCAGCTTTCCGCATCTGTGAGGGGTTACTTGGATTTCAGCAAGGACCGCCTCATATCAAGCTCTCTGGATTTGGAATAGTTCGCTGCACTTGATGTCCATCCTACGCTCTTTTGCGTCGAGGCCCTGCACTGAACGCACACACGGCAACCATCTCAATACCGAGCTGCAGTCCGTTCGGCGTATTGAAGAAACACAGCCAAAATGAATGAGAGCATTGAAAAAATCTGTCCCCTGGTGCCCATACCCGGTAACCTACGTAATTAGGGAGGGTGTAGTTCGCGATATCGTCCATCGTTGCCCCTCTCGTTAAGAAGGCGTTGATGCCAAATCGGGTCGCATCTATAACCCCCTCTGGCTAAGATTTGTTTTGCATTTGGAGCAACTGACACTACAAAGATAGTGATCATCATACACCAACACCTCCCCCTTTCTGGGCCAAATTGTATGAACCGAACTTCCAGGGTTGCAGTGCAACGTTTTACGGCTACATAGGCCTCCCGCTCTTCTACGTCTTTTGCTCGGATAAGATTCCGGGCCGCCTTGACAGCTCCGGAGTTCGGACGTTTTGGCCTACGCTGATGAAACACTCAGGCATCCCTCGCCCAAAGTCGAGCTGTTGGGCCTCCCATTCTGAACCTTGGATTGGAACACTTCATTAATGCCTGTTTTTTTTTTGCAATGGAAATAAGGGCGATTCTCGCAGAACTGGGGGGCCTAACGTTGTTCATGTTGAGTGTGGCTGCCATTGCGATCTTGGCGGGTCAAACCGACAACTCCCCTCGTCGTCTCAGAACCTTGCCCGCTTCAGTCTCGCGCATCCAAGCGAAGCTCGCTGTGCAGGTCATGCGGCGCAGCCTTGGGGATCAGACAGACGTCGTGCACAGAGCAGGGGAGAACACACACGCCTGGGAACAGCTAAATAGTTGCTTCCGCCAATAAC